GCAAACCGGTGACCTTGCTGCGAGGCAACAATGCTACCCATTGACCCACCTTGCAGCCCTAAATGATGATGTGACTTAGTTACATACTTACTTATTTATAAATGAAAACTAATGCACACTGAAGTTATTAGTCCCCCTTGATCACTGTGAGCTGATCCCATACTTGTTGGCTGTTCTATGTTCATTTATATACATGAAAAAGAAAATAAAAAACTAAGAAGTCTCTGTTTAGTTCACAAAAATGAAAAACAACAACAACAAAAAAACTGGAGTCAACATTTTGAACATTTTTCTAAATGCCCACAGGTGCTACCAGTTTATATTTTTAATTTGCTTCCATACTCGTCTCTTTACTGCTCTGTTTAAACACGGCCTGCAGTTCAGCCAGAAGGTTCCTAATATATCAGCTCCTCAGTTGTGCAGATTTTTTATTTTTTTTTTGGCACCGGGTTTGTACAACAGATTTATTTTTGATATTTTAGATTTTATTTTTTATTGAAACATGCAGAATAAAAGGCTTTTGGTTAATATCACAATTTTAGTCTCAGATTTGGTTAATTTTCACAGTGGAACTGTACGTCACAAATGATTATTTCAAAGTTGAAAATCTGAGGATTTTTTTTCTGTTCTTATAGGTTCTTGTTCTGATAAATATTATAATTATGGTATTGTTTTTTTGTTGTTGTTGTTGTGTTTTGTTTACAGATAACATGCCTTTAAAACCCACCAGTGGGGTTTGTGGTTAATGGAAGATATCTATCTTCTTGTTTTTAACTTTTCAGATCACACACGTCCATGCAACAGTCAGATGAATTTTTAAAAATTGTTTGCTGCCTTCCTCTCAGTCAGCTTAACTCTAATTTCATGTGTATATACAGAAATGGATGAGTCTAGCACAAAGACTGGAGGCAGAGGAAAGCCCAAATATTAACTGCTGTCTCATTATCCTCTAGTTTATATCCTGTATCAAGCTTCTGGTACATCAATTCACTGCAGGACTGTGCTTCTTTTTTAACTTTTTTATAAATGAATCTCATCTCCCCTCTTTTTTCGTTCTGCTGTCAATGTCTGTTTACAGCTCCATGCACCAGCAGTCAAGAATGGACCATGAGCCAAACTGTACAAGAGCTTCATTTGGTGAGCGCAAGGACACGATCGCTTTTACAACCCGGTGACAGGGATCTGGTGCTGAATTAATATATTTTCTCTATTTCTGTCTGTCTGTGGTCTGTAGGGTGTTTTGGGAGGTCTGTGCAGTGGGAAGTCGGCTCTGGTCCACAGACATCTGACAGGGAGTTACCTGCCACTGGAGAACGCAGAAGGTTGGCTTAACATCTCCTTGTGTTTTTTTTTTTTGTTGTTGTTTTATGAACCTGTCAGTGGATTATGAAGGTTCATGTGTAGTTTTGCTAATACAGACTGAATGGGCCATGATGTTAGTTATTACACCAGTGAGATTCCTGCTGTAATGGGTCAAACTGTTAATCAAAGAGGTCTAAGCCAACTGGTGTGTATTCCAATATTTGCAGGCCGCCAGTACATTAAGGACGTCCTAGTTGATGGGCAGAGCCACTTGTTGATAATCAGAGAAGAAACAGAACTCCCAGCAGCTCAGGTATGTTGGGAATTGACCTGAGGTGTTTTAATGTGGACCACTAATTAAGCTTCATGTAAATTAGTTTTCCCTCTCGTGTATTTTGAGTGCTATTCTTTTATCGTCTTTTTTTTTTTTTTCCCTTTAGCTTGCGAGTTGGGTGGACGCAGTCATCTTGGTGTTCAGTTTGGAAAACGAGTCCAGCTTCCAGGAAGTTTACAAAATCTACCACCAGCTCGCTGTCCATCGGCCCATTGCTGAGATACCTTTCATAGTAGTCGGCACTCAGGGTAAGACTCTGACTCACTGCATGAGCTTCTGTTCAAATGTTTGCACACGTGAAACCATGCTGTGATTTGTTGTTGTTTTTTTTTCTCAGATAAGATCAGCAGCACCAACCCCAGAGTAATAGACGATGCCAGGGCCAGACAGCTCTGCTCAGACGTGCGACGCTGCACCTACTACGAAACCTGCGCGACGTACGGCCTCAACGTCAACCGAGTCTTCACGGATGGTGCGTGTCCCTGCTGAGGCCAAAGTACAATACAGAGCTGCAGAGGAAGAACATGTGTGAATGTTATGTGTCTCTTTTGGGGCTAATGTTTGGGGGTTTTTTTTTGTCCCACAGCTGCTCAGAAGATCATGGCAGCCAAGAAGCAAGCTGCTCTGCTGGCTTCCTGTAAATCTCTTCCCAATTCTCCCAGTCACTCCGGAGGCTCCACACCAGTGTCCGGCGTCTTTCCAGGACAGGTAGAAATTTAACAGACTGCCTGTTCTACACAAAAAAAAATGATAGAAAGCGACACCGTTCATCTTCTGTTCTTGAGCGTTTTGTTCTTTTGTTTTTTGTATTTTATGTTTCCTGTCAGGCTGTTTTTAAAGGCTGTTATTTTAAATTCTGTTATCTCCCCCTTCTGCTCAATTATCGCTCCATCTCCTCCCTCCTCTGTCCTCTCTTCAGGCCAGTAACGGCGGTCAGAGCAGCGATTACTCCTCATCGCTTCCCTCCACTCCTGTGATCAGTCATAAAGAGATTGGCAGAACACTGAGAGGGGAGAAACAAGACAGCGCAACGCCTGGTTCGGTCCGCAGTGTCCGAAGACGCACCAGCAGATTTGCGGTAAGCAGTCCAGTCATGCATAGACACCCTTTTTAGTGTTGTTTCTCCTCTCTTCTTCTATTTTAACTGCAGATTTTTTTTTTATCACATTCCCTTCTTTAAAAATTAAACTGTGAACACTTATCACACAAATTATGCAGCTTTATGGTCACATTATGACATTTTATTGTCTCACTGTTGTACCCATTCATCTAAATATACAAAACTTTATCACCACCTTTAAAATTACGTTTTTATATTAATTCTAATTTGCTCGTCTGACTAATAAACTAAGGCTATGTGGGATTAACAGCGAAAAGAATATACTTGCAGACAGATGCACCATAATGCGGATACAGACTGCCTTTATTTATTAAAACAACACTTATTAAAGTTCATCTGAAATTTAATTAACATTACTTCCTTCATTAATTGGTTTTTGGCCCCCCTACGAGACGTACAAATCCAGCTGACTCAGAGCAACACTAGCATTTCTTTAAAAAACGATTGTGTCCACCTGATGACTGGTATGCACCTTATCCTCTTGTTTTGTTGCTGCTGAGGGAAATATCTGACTTTTTAGCTGCTAAATGTGCATGCAGTTAGTTGCTATTTTTATCAGAACGCTTCCTTCTGTTGGGCATGTAGAATATAGTGAGAGATTTTTACTTAACAATAGCTGCCTGCTGTGTTAAAGTTGATAAGAGCGAATGAAAACAGTGAAGGTGTTGACCAAAAAACGTAAACAAGTAGCTGAAATTTGCTAGAACACTTTAAATAGAGGAGGAAAACGATAGAAACAGGTGATATCTGTGGGTTTGTGTTCATAAGTGACCCTTTTCACGTTGCATGTAATAATTAGATGCAGTGCTAATATAAAAATACACATTAATGCAGCTTCAATGTCAAATGGCACTATTGCTTACATTTTTAAAGCAGCTTTTATAATCAGCTATGCTTTCCAGCAGAAAGATTCCATATTTTATAAGGTATAGATGACGTTTTTAACCTATCGCCTCACTCCTGCCCCTGATGCAGTTATTGCTTTTCTTTCCTGTAGGGTCGGAGAGGCAGCGACTCAAACAGAAGGAGCGCGGACTATAAGGGGGATCTGGGCAGTGGACGCTGCATCCCGATCAAACAGGTAGGACACATATTTGCTGTTGATGCAGAAACAAATATGATGTATGTGATGACCCTCAGCAGAGGACATCTCACCAGCAGTCACTCCAAATGTGTGAAGTCAGTTTCATCATGCGGAGTGATGAAGTGCTGTGATCACCCACAATGGCCTGATGAATATGGTGGGTGTTTTTTGGCAGCCAGCAGCTATTATGCCGCCGAAATGTGTGAAACGAACTCACGAGACGTTTGCAATGAATTCTCACTCTTCAGTTTTGTCACCTCCTTCAGGGCATCTTGCTGAAGCGCAGTGGGAACTCGCTCAACAAAGAGTGGAAGAAGAAGTATGTCACGCTGTCCAACGACGGCATACTGTCCTATCACGCCAGTGTCAATGTGAGTCGGAGTGTGAACGAGCTGCTGTGGAGCATTATGCTGCTCAAAGCACAGCTGATGTTTGATGGTAACGGCTGATGTTTGGCTTGGCAGGACTACATGCTGAACGCCCCAGGGAAAGAGATGGACCTGCTGCGAGTGACAGTGAAGGTGCCGGGAAAACGACCGCCCCGTGCTGTACCCACCTGTGGCCCTCCAGCCGGGCTCAATGGGCGGGTCAAAGATGTGCCGGGGCCTGAGGGTAAAGAATAAACATGTTTTCTGCTCTGTAGACCAAGATGAGATGTGGTGAATTTTAGTTTGCTCACAAAAAGTATGCACAGCTAATGTAATTTCTTTTACATAAATCTGTAAGTACGAAAAAGTATTATTTTCTAACAATATAAACAAATGCCAATCCAGTGGCATTTGGATCCACGAAGAGGCTGCAGTTACAACCATGTCACAGCTTAAGTTACTGTAATCAACAACATTTTGGTCAATTTTGGCAAGAAATGTCCTCCTCGGTCCTTTTTCCTATTTGGAGCTTAAGTGAATGTGATTTAGGTGAGATATAGAACTTTAAAAATGAATGGTATAAGAAGGTGGAGGTATAGAGAAAGCAGGACACAGAACCACTTTATATTTTTTGTTCCTTGGATTTTAAGCCTGTTTTGAATGGAGAGGTCAAGCTTCTGTCCCAGAAGGAAAAGAAATTTGCAATGGAATGCAAAAATCTCTTCCCTGCAAGAGAATGAAAGAGCATCATAAGGGATTTTTCCAAGTTTTCCAAGAGAGAGCGAAACACCAAAGACTCCTTCAGTCATAATCTGAATCTCTTCTACTTTTCTGCAGTTTATGCTGAATTGGTAAAGTTTTTATAAATGTCAGACGGTCATTTTTACATCTAATAGTTGGGTAAATTGCTCTATTCTTAAGTATGAGGTTGCTGTCGTCCCTTTAGTGCCGGTGAGCGCGAGTGGCCTCCTCCAGATGGAGGAGATGGAGGGTCTGGGTGGAGGACTGTTCCTGAGAAGTAACAGAGGAGTGCAACGATGTCCGTCCACACTGTCTAACCACGCTCAAAGCGTTGGTGTGTAAACAACTTTCGTTTCATACATTTAGCTTGAAAACATGCAACATTTCATACTAGTTTTATATCATTTCTGTGGTTGTGCTGTCTTGATGCTAGACTCTGCAGTTGAGGGAGTCTCCAGCTCTTCCTCCACCAAAGATGTAGGCTGTGCCTCCCCAGTGACAGACAGGAAGAAGCATCGCAGAAAGAAGAGCATGAACCAGAAAGGAGATGCAACCATTGGCCAGGCAGATGGTACATGCTGAAAATGTCTACAGTACAGGCAGCAATTATATTCCCATACTCACAGTCACACTTGATATGATGTGAACTTGACAAAAGAAAAAAACAACAAAAAAGAAAAACGCTAACTTGACATTAAATTGAACGAGAAGTTTCATTATGTATCATGTATTATGTAATGTTCATGCAACATTTATTACCTGCTCTCCCTCTCTCTTTGTTTTTGCTCTGATATTTTCTCTCTTCTCGTGCAGCCAAGCGCAAAATGTGGAAACTCAAAAGCTTTGGTAGTTTAAGAAACGTAAGCAAGACAGGTAATGTTGATCTGTCACTCTCAATCTCTCCAACTCTGACTGACTCTCTGCCAAATTGGAGTCACTGTACTGATGCATGCAAACTGCATTTTAGTTCATAATGTGAAAAAACTGACACTTCTGCATCTGTTTGACAGCTTTGATGTTCTACACGGCCAAATTAACACCAGATTTAAAAAAGCTGTCTCCTGTCCATGTCTTTCTGCATCAGATGAGGACAATTTTGACTTCCTCATTGTGTCGAGTACTGGCCAGACGTGGCACTTTGAAGCCCAGAGTGTGGAGGAGAGGGACTCCTGGGTCCAAGCCATTGAGAGCCAGATCCTGGCCAGCCTGCAGCTGTGTGAGAGCAGCAAAAACAAGGCAAGAAGCAACAGAAGGCACATGAGTCACTCTCTGCACATAATATATACAAACAGTTTACACAACTACAATTTAATTTATAGTAATCGAAAAATTCTAAGCGCATTCGCTTCTTTGCTTAAAAAAACATTGCGGACTCTGTTTTCCTGCTGGTAAAGGAATACAAGCACAGTGTCATTTAAAAATAATTTTGTGACATTTTTGGAATGATTGAAGCCGTCTACCAACACAGACAATTTGGAAATGACAACACAACAGAGCTCATGTCTCAAGGGGAAGTTTGCTGGTTCATTGATTGTAACCACTTACTGTGTGTTTCTCACAGGCTCGCAAGAACAGCCAGAGTGAAGCAGTGGCTCTGCAGGCGATTCGCAATGCAAAGGGCAACAACTTCTGTGTCGACTGCGATGCTCCCAGTTAGTGACATGCTCTAATAGCTTCACCTCTTTATGTGCTCAGTAGTTAGAATTCTCTCAAAATGTACCTGCATTTTCACACTTGCTTTTTCTTCTCGTTTCCTTGTGCATGTATCATCCTCTCAATCATTCATGTCTGTGATTTTACTATCAGTCAAGAAAGTTTACATGCGGGCCAGGTTCTCCATACCTTTTCAGAGCTGCTGTCATTTTAAGTGGTGTAAGATGTGTAGAGCGAGGAGAAAATGATTTGCCGAGCGCTTGAAGCTTTGTGCATTCTTACACAAGAGCAAATGTGGCCAATTACTTTAGAAAGTGGGTTTGACTGTTCCCATTCTGACTGTCTGAAAAGAGAGTTCCACGTCTCAGCCTGCCAGTACTTCTGAAATATACATCGGTTTAAAAATTTTTTTTTTTCGTTCCTCGAAATGTTGTAGAATTACATAATAATGATAAAAGACGAATGGAATGTGAAACAGCTATATGCAGATGTAGCATTACTCTTCTTCTTTGTTTTATGTTTTCAGATTTATATATATATATATATATACAGGGAAATGTATGCTATTTTCCAGTATTCCAGTCTTAAATTGTCAAAATATGAAAGTCATTTAAAGACACCTTCCTAAGTTCCTCTTTCAATCCAGTCCTTGAAATGATTTTTCTTTACTTACCTAAGAAAAATATCTAGCAAAAAAAATTTAATTACAAGGTAATCAAGCCAATTAGGAAGGGCGTGCAGGAGGTGGAACATGTTTCATTTTGGTGCAGGAGCACTGAAAAGCATATGAACGATGAACCTTTTAAGAAATTTAGCCTGTAAAAATGTAATTAATACATCCTATAATTAAAATCAAGGTGTTTGATGTTACTAAAGCGAGCAAAACTGGGTCAAATGCTGAATAATTTTTAAATACTGGAACATGTTAAAGCTCCTGAGTTTCAGGTTGCATATATTGTTGAGCAAACTGGCCCCAGATTTAACAGCTCTGCTCTCAGCCTCATCCAGACAGAATCTCACACACAACTTCAGTCATTTTTGTGGCATGACACGGCCAAACTGGCACCCTTTAATGGCACACGGCAAATTAAAATGATAGAAATCCAGCCATGGTTCAGTTTCACATGAAATGTCAACCTGATTTGTTGTCCTTCTCCAAGATCCAACCTGGGCCAGCCTGAATCTGGGCGCCCTCATATGCATCGAGTGCTCTGGGATCCACAGAAACTTGGGGACCCACCTGTCACGAGTTCGCTCTCTGGCCCTCGATGATCTGCCGCGAGAGCTGACGCTGGTTCTCAGTGCCATCGGCAACCACATGGTCAACAGTACATGGGAGGCGCGCACACTGGGCCACCGTAAACCAGCACCTGATGCCTCACGGTAAAGAATCACGACCTCCAAATAAATGACTGTGACTCACACTGTGATATGAGCTTGCATGTCTGAGTTTATGCATTCCACTTCAAAGACCTGTTGTCATTCTCCGACGACAAGTATTTCGCTCATGATTCGCCTTTTTCTCTGCATTCCTGCTCGTCTAGAGAGGAGCGGGAGTCGTGGATAAGAGCCAAGTATGAGCAGAAGCTGTTTGTGGCGCCGCTGCCTCCTCCCACACCCAACGAGGGTCCAGACATCACTCTATCTGGCCGTCTTCTGTTGGCAGTGATGGAGCACAATCTTCCCAAGCTGCTGCTCCTCTTGGCCCACTGCACTAAGGAGGACATTAATGCCCCTCTCAGCCTGGCGCTCTCCTCCAGGTCCCTGTTAGCGTTGCGGCTGCCTGGATCTGCCCTGCACGCCGCCTGTCAGCAGGGCGATGTGGTGATGACACAGCTGCTGGTTTGGGTGTGTTTCAGTCCCTGTCTGTTTATCTCCCTGTGGTGTTGGCCAGTTGTGATGCAATGAAACTATCGCACATGCAGCCTGATATATCTCTCCATAGAGCTGCAACGCATGGGAAGTTGCAGAAATGTTTACATAATTGCAAAAACAGATAACTTCATTTTTGTAGATTTTCAGAAAACTTGGGTTTTTTTGTTGTTTGCTTGACATAATATCACTCAAACTGACACTGAGTGGATCTGACTCAGTAGAAATGACATGACAAAAATAGAGATAACTTAAGTTTGACTGATATTGTCTCAGGTAGGACAGACTAGAGACCTGTCCAGGGTGTCCCCTGCCTTCACCCTAAGTCAGCTGGGATAGACTCCAGCCCCCAGGCGACCCTAGTGAGGATTAAGAGGTGTATAGATAATGGATGGATGGATGTCTCAGGTAGACGATGGAAAAGTGGGTTTTCTGAAAGTTTGTGAAGATGGAGTGATCTGTTTTTGCAAATGAACACTTCAGTACATTATCTGCAGGTGATGTAGAGTTGGCTGTGTCAAAGTGTCCTTGGGCAAGACTCTGAACCCCAAGTTGCTCCTGATGGCAGGCAGGCACCTTGCATGGAAGCTCTGTAGCCACTGGTGTGTGAATGGGGTGAATGAGAAACACCTTGTACAATGCTTTGAGTAGCACTAAGCTCGACAGGCTATAAGTGCAGACCATTTAGCATTTGAGTTATGCAAAAATGGCAAAATGATAACCTCCAAGTAATTCCCGCAGCAAAGAACATAAATTTGTTGGAACAGATGAGTCAGCAGACCACTGAAGGTGATCTGTATGTGTGAAAGCTCACTAAGTCGCACCTTGTCAGAATGAAGTGGAGCCTTATTCTACACCATAAAACTTTCTTAAAACGTGGATCATGTTATCTATTTTGTCATCCTTTTTTTTTGTGTGTGTGTGTGTGTGTGTCGCAGTACGGCTGTGATGTCCGGCATCGGGACGCTCAGGGTCAGACGGCGTTGGCTCTGGCCCACAGCGCCGGCAGCCAGGAGTGCGTCGACATCCTGCTCCAGTACGGCTGCCCGAATGAACCGGCTCCCTCCGTCGCCGCGACAGTTGGCTTCGCAGCGGCCGCCACGTCCAGCTTCCCCGTTGCCATGACACCGAGCCTGACGGTCGCCACCACGCTCAAGATCTCGCACAAGAGCGGCGGCGCCAGCTTGAGCTACAGCACCTCCAGGAGGGCCGTGTCGTAACTGAAAAATGTGGCGTGGGCATAATGTGCGTGTGCGTGTGTGAGCTTGTCGCTTTGCCCTCATAGTGTCCTGTACATACATGCAGGCCGGCGGGACTGTCGTGGCAGATGTTTGCGCTCCTGAAGCCAGGCTGAGGTTTGTGGAGGTGTTTTGCTTTGTCAGGTGGGGAGGGGAGGTTGGGGTGGTGGGGGAGGAGGGGGGGGGACACATTTCAGTCTGCTGGAATGATTTAACCAAAATGAAAATAGAAATTTTCCTGACTACACTTTGTATATGATGGTAACAGAACATGACATCCAAAATGGTTTCGGCGTTCAGGTTTTGATAGGAATGTATTGAACTGTGTGCCAGATGGTATGACTCACATTTCACCATGCAGTCAATATTCACCTTTATTCTGCTCTCAGTTGAGGATGGAAACCCGCCTGCAGCCTCAAAGCAGCTTATCTGAGCATCTAGGGCCCAGACGTAAAGAACTGCAATAAGTTTACTGTCTGATAGAGGGACGGGCGGCTTGAATTCCCAACGTTAAAGACGGCAGCAGCTATTAATTTTGACGATGAATGTCGGTTTTAACTTCAGTACGCGGCTGGTCATTCAGTGCATCAAAAAAAAAAAAAATGTTATGTGAGTTTCAAAACTTTACTGTGGCTGGAAAGAGTTTTAAAGAAAAAAAAATAACTGTATAGAAATGCATTGATAAAAAATACTATAAATCTAAAAATTTAAAAGTGCTTCATTTTCCAGATTGTTATTGTATGATTTGTACAGTCGGTTTCCGTGTATAAAACTCAAAAGGGGTTTTGCTCGTAGCTGCTCAGAGACCTACTGCGCAGCTTTTCCTTTTCCTTTGATAACCACCTGATTAACTCTGAGATTTTTATGTTCTGTTTGTATCGGTGGCATTAATACTGTACAGGGTGTGTGCATTATGACTCCAGCAGTAGCTCATTATCAAGCGAGTGTAAACGCTAGAAATGTAAAAGAACAAGTGAAATGCCTTGATTTTGTTCGGTTGAATGTAGACAGATATGAGTTCATTACTTCGAATACTAACGTGGTTTCCAGATGACACTGTTTTGATCCACTTGGCGGGGCGTTTTTATTTTTTAATCAACTAACATTACTCCTGCTGTGACTAATAGAAATTAAAAGTGCGATGTGGCGGATGAAAACCTCGAATGACTTAATGATGTTTGTAAGTGGCTGAAAATAAACCTGCAACAGAGGAATGTTCCCCCACAAAAGTATTTTTTAGAAAATGCCTAAAAAAACAACCCTCCTGCAGTACTGTATGTATTTCTGTTGTTGATCTGAAGACTCAGCTGACTGTACACGTCTGTGATGTAAGCATCTCTCTCTCCATTTGTATTTTTTTTACTCATGCGATGATTCACAGAGGGAAAAGAAATCATTATCAATACAGTAATGCTACTGCCCAAGATGTGGTGTTTTGTTTGGTTTTGTGTGTCTTGTTCAAAGTTGATTTATTTAATGGCTTATTTTGTTAAATAAACTGTAGAATTTGCTCCTGGGACGTTGAGGGGAACTGTGGCATCACATGCTGGCGTGCAGAGCAGTTTGTGTTTTAAACTGAGCTCAGAGACTCGTTTTCTCGAGTCCTCTGGTAGTTGTTACAGAGCACTCGACTACCATTTTAACATAAGATCTTCTGGATCAAACCGGTCGTCGCTGAAGGCCCCGACTGGCTTTGGCCTACTTCTTTGTAGGTCGAAGTCATGGACTCATTTATATACTGTCAGTGGTGGAGGAAAGTATTCAGATTCTTGATTAATAGCACCAATGCCACATTATGAAAATACTACACTACATGTGCATTCAGAAGCATTCTTATGAAAAAGTACTACCAGCAACATTGTGTAGTATCAAAAGTAAATGTACTTATTCTGCAGTAAAATGTCAGAGTTTTACTGTCATATATAATATATTTGGGTTAATATGACTGCTGGTTACATTTTACTTCTGTAATACTTGTACGTTTGAGCAAATTTGACTTACTTTATATGCTGTTGTAGTGTGTCATCTTCTACAAGATCATCTTTCAGTCCAGCCTCGTTGTCAGTTAGAACCATCCATCCATCCATCCATCCATTATCTATACACCGCTTAGTCCTCACTAGGGTCGTGGGGGGGCTGGAGTCTATCCCAGCTGACTTAGGGTGAAGGCAGGGGACACCCTGGACAGGTCACCAGTCTATCACAGGGCTACACTTAGAGACAGACAACCAAGCACACTCACATTCACACCTTCGGATAATCTAGAGTCCCCAATTAACCTCAACATGTTTTTGGACTTGTGGGAGGAAGCCGGACAACCCGGAGAAAACCCACGCTGCACAGGGAGAACATGCAAACTCCACGCAGAAAGATCCCAGGTGTCCTCACCAGGACGCGAACAGGCAACCGTCTTGCTGCAAGGCAACGGTGCTAACCACCAACCCACCTTGCAGCCCCAGTTAGAACCATGTTTGCCTAATTTTTTTCTATTTACCAGCTCAAAATAGTTTATTTATTCTGGAAAGTAGGAGATTTTTCTCAGCCCATAAAGGAACACAAACATCCAAAATCTCCATTTTTATACGGTTTTCAATGGACATGAAGGGCATCAAAACTGGAATCTGAAAAGTAACTGAAGCTGCCAGCAAATGTGGCGGATTAAAAAGAGGATTATTTGCCTCTGAGATGTAGAGTACAAGTATAAAGCTACATAAAATGGAAACACTGATGTAAAGTGCAACCCTTTGAATATGTACTTAAGTATAGTACTTTGATGAATACACTTGTTTACTTTTCATTACTGTATCGCCATCTCTGAGGTACGTTAGTTTCTTAGATTCAAAATAAACTGCATCACATGATTTTTCTCTAAATTTTTTGAGATTTTTGTGTGTTTGTCTTCAGGAACTTTACGGAAATATCAGAAATATGAGGTTCGTATCATCTTAAAACAGGAAAAAAAGCACGATACTGCTTTTAGTTTGTTACATAGCACGGCATCTGGCCAAACCAAATGTTTTCAGGGGCATTATGTTTATAGCATTCAAAGCTCCAAGAGGAAACAAAACATACACAGAAAATGGAGAAAAACTCGTCATCAACAACAAGGTCGCTCGTAATAGGCGACGCATGGGTTGTGAAAGGTTTCCATGAAGACAAGTTGAAAGTTACGGATTCATTGTATTTGCAGTGACTTTTCAATTTGGATCTTTTCAGTGATTTGACTCCTGCTGAACAAAAAAAAAGTCACTCTCTGCTGTATTTTAGTGAACTGCAGCCAACAGCTCCACATCTCTGAAAACCACATCAATGTGTTTTATAGATCACACCACATGTAAGAGGAAATACACTTTTCCCGTTAATACAGATAGATTTGATTGTGACGTGAAGCCAGACTTCAGCTCTGGAACATTTATTTTGAATACAAAACTGGACTGTAAAAGATAAGTGAGTGTACACAAGCCAGACACAGCAGTGTATTAAACTCTGAAAGGGTAATGTACAGTAATTAGCTGAGATGATCATTTCCATCTTAGAATAGAAGAGAAAATCGTCAAAAAAATTAAGCAAAATTGCTATGATGCCAGTTTAAGTTTAAGTCCTGCAACTCGTTATTTAAAACAATCCTGGATTCTCACAAGTTTTTTTTGTTTTAGTTTTTTTTGTCATTTCCCTGCCTCTGTTTGTCCACTCAGCTCTGAGTCCAAAGTAAAAATCCTCATGACAATCTCAAAAGGAGTTTCAGGAATGTGTGCCAGGAGGACTGGGACGGTGGGAGAGGACTAAATAAGAACAAAAATTAATGCTTCACCGCTGAGGATACATTTTAAAGGAACACATGTGCAGTCAGATCTCTGAATCCCACAGTTTGCTTCTGCTCGTACTGACTTGTTAAACTCATCCATATGTGATTTCTTACATTACCCAGCATCAGGTAGCTAAATAGTTAATATGACACATAGATCCAAGCTGTAACATTTGACACAAAAGCCCTTTGATCAGCATGCTGCTTAACAATTAGTGTGCCGCAGCGCCTTTCAGATGATGCAACCTTGAAGCTGGCACAGTATTGCACTCCAGCGAAGCACAATAGAGAGCTGAAGGGAGAAGCGTTGCCCTTCGGTGACGTCTCTTTCAAAACACAAATAGAATCAGACTTCCTGCTCTGAAATTTGCAGCGGCTTATTTTACTCACAGATGACGGCAAATATACATTTCTTTACTGGCAATGAAAACTAAACAGTTTCCAGAATAATCTCTAATGGACCAGATACATTTATTCTTCATTAAAAAAAACAGTTCCAGTTATATATTTGTGAAATAATTACATGCTGGATTTTGAAATATAATTCAATGGAGCATGTGCTCAAAAATGAAAGACATCAGTATTCAGGCGTGGTGCTCAGTCATATTGTGTGGTTTATGTTTAATTTGCTTTGAATGTACAATAAGACGTGTTATCAGTGTAAACACACCTCAATACTGGAAAAGACATGAATATTATATTGTTCCTAATAGAGGCATGTAGATTTGACCAATTAGCACAATCACATCAACGTATCTCTTTTATAAAGTGTTGTCATTAATGGAAACAAATGAAAAACAAATCAGAAATCTTCCTTCCAACCTGCATTTCTTACTGAAGGAAGATTGTGTGTACTTTGGATGAATGTGATGTTTTTCTCATCATCTTCACCTTTGACCTCTATAAAAAAATACATTTCTATCAGTGCAGTTTACTTGCATCACCTTGAACGATTTCTTTCACAAATCCTTCATCCCTGGCCATCACCCAAAGTGAAAGCAGTGTCTGCCAAACCTTTAAGTGTCAACAAAAGCAACGCATTAACAGCAAACGAGTCGCCAAGAAGACATTCTTCATCCTGTATGCAAATTCTTCATTCAGAATAAATGTGTGGTCCATTTTGCAGCGCAGAATAACGTGACGGGGAAGTATTCGAAAAACACATAGTAAATTTTCCGTGCTAATTTGACATGTAGTGTTAAACAAATGTTGGCGAATCCTTGAACTAGGCAAAGATCTTGGTAATAAACTCTCTGAAACGTTTAGCGTACTGCTCCGGATGAACCGTTGAGATTTCAGCTCCTGCCTGCAAAAACACACAGAAGAAACACAAAATAAGTGAACAGCAAAAAGGGAAAAGCAGCTCTTTTACGCTTCGGAGGATAGAGATGCAAAGGGTGCATAATGCCAGCCAATCCCTTTTATAAGGAACACTGATCTCTCACCCCGTGTTTGACAGCCTTGGCAGCGTGAGCGGCTTTCTTCTTGGTGTCGTACTGCGTGAGCACGTCAATCAGACCCATAAAATACACCTCCCTCTGGGGCGCACCTACAAGGATTTCACAGCATTTGGAGAGCAATATTGATCTCTGCATGTATGATCTCACCTGTGTGGGATGAGGTTTAGGTGTGTTGTAGCACAGAGCTCCTTTAACTTACATTAAATCACTCAGACATGTCTCAGGACTCACCCACAGCGCTCTGAATAGCATAGACGTCCACGTAAGGGTCGAACTCTCCGGGACCCAGGGGTTTGAAGGAGTTCATGTAGCCAGCGATGCCTTCAGGGGAGGTGGAGCCCGGAGCAGGGGCCGGGTCACTTTCATCTTCCTCTTCCTCCTCGAGGGAAGACACCATCTCCTCCTCCTCCTCCCTCTCGGCCCGTTCAACATCGTGAATCCCTAGCAGTAGGCTGTAGTCTGTGATCCTCATACGCACAAGAAACTGCAGAGAAACTGAGAGTCATTCTCCACCTCAGTTTACCAAACTTTTAAAAAAAGTTCATGCCTGATCATTTCATATTTTGCCAAATTTTTTTTTCCGTGTCACTAAATCTTTGCTAAGGAGGTTGTATAGAACTAAAACAGATCTTGATATAGAAATATAAACAAGTTAAAACATATATGTCTGACACATACATAATGAACATGGACAAAATTGCTTAGGGTACCACTTTTCATAAAATTATTTGAAGCACAATAAGTTTTACTTCTTTCTACCCTTTTTCAGACATGTTAACTAGTTACATTGGTTATGTGTGTTATGGGTATTGTTATGTGCGTGTATGTACATGGGTATATGTGTGTGTATGTATGTGTGTATATATATATATATGGTGAGAGACAGGTGTGTGCATATTAGGTATAGATTTATTTATTTTTATTTATTTTGTGTATTGAATGTGCGTATGTATATAGATGTGTGTGTGTATATGTACGGGTATGTATGTATATATATGTGATTTTTTTTTGTTCTCTCTTTTCTTTTTGTGTATGTGTTGGTACAGAGGGTTTCGTACAATGGTCTTGACATGTCTGCAGTCAAATCACTATGAGTTGGAAAACGGTGATTTTTCTTTTAGCCCATTAATATTATATAACTCTTCCAGTTGAACACTATCTTAGTGGTTTCACCATCATACCTGCTCAATGCATGTTCAAATATTGGCCACAAAAAAATTACATTTTCTTTATTTTTGACTGGGACTATACATGTTTAAAGCTCCTATTGGTGCCAATCACTGGGACAAAAATGTGCCTCTTGCAGTCAAAAATAAAAGTTTTATTGTTGGTGTAATATTGGACATTTTTTGACCAAAGTTGCACCATCATATAACTGGTTTGCACTGATCTATCAAAGCAGGGTTGTACCATTGGGGATCATATGTAAATATAAATGAGCCTGCAAAATTTCATGACTCAGGCTACATTATTTCTCAAGCTAAGACACCATAAACTTTGCCTAGCACAAAGAAAATGGCCCAAACTCTCTTTAAGATTTCAAATTCAAAAACTAATGTCACCTATGACCCCAGATTTTTGGTAAATATCAATCTTATAAATATTCATCCTTTTAAAAACAAATAAGTCAAATTGAAGATGGTCAGGTGTGGGGCATTTGATGAATTGAGACACTTACACTCTAAAAGCCAAGAAAATAATGAAATAAACAGCAACACTTTCTTACCTCTATATCTCTGTTGAGCTTGTCCATTATCTTCTCTTTCTCCTCATCGCTCACATAAACTTTTTGCATGTTATTCCTGAAGTCTACGTCCTTGTAAGTGGGCAATTCTTTGACCTGAAAATACAGGGGTGAGATTAGCTCAAATGCATTAAGCATAAAAAATTGCAAATTATAACATTCATTAGCATTTTTCTCATTAAATCATTTGCAGCCGTGCTATTTTCAGTGACATGCAAGTCAAACAATATTGCCCCAATTTTGTTTTTCTTCCAAATCAACAGAGATGAAAATATCAAAGGTTCCCACAGCTCTGCAGTTATTCAATCTCCATCCATTCAACATTCAACAGGATATTTTTTATTCTTTTTATCTAGGTCAGAGTCGCTTCAGGCCCAGCAGAGGGCTTCTGATGTTACTTAAACAGCCTGTTGCTAAGTGATTTTTTTCAGCAAAAACATCTCTGAAGATCTAATCTGAAATCGCATTTGTCGCAATGCACAAACAAAACAAAACAAAACATAACAAAAAAAACAATTACACACAGGAGAATGATTTCACACTGTGCCCTCGGTCACACATTTCAATAAGTACATTTCTTGGTTTGCAGTCAGAGATGTAGCCTGTCAAGTGTAGGCGAACAGCCTGAATACTAAGTATGTCCACATGTTCAGACAGACGGCGGTAGTGCAGGTGCAGCAGATTCAAGCTTGTTAAGATGTTTTTGTTCAACTGAATTTCTCTCAGATTTACTCAAAGTCAGTGATCTCACTAGAACTCCTTAACTTACTGCAGAAATGAAGTCTCAAATTATTGTTTTGTTAAGATGACTCAAGCTATTTATTTTATGTACCAAAAATGTGTTCAGGAGACAATTTACCAATTTTACTTGTAAGGAAATTAGTCAACCTGTTAAAAAAAAAAAAACAGCAACAACAACAACTTAAAAACAGCTAATAGTTACAAGCAAACATCATTATTACGTTGAGGAGGAACCTGTATAAGAATCTGCAGCCACAAATGTGTTGTAAATCAAGTGTGGCACATTGCAGTCTACGCACATACACAACAGGGTGTGTGTGACTGTATAACTGGTCTTTACTTGGCAGCTTCTGTGCCTTTAGTTTTCAGTGACTCTTGATGAGGCGTTTCCTGCTGTCACCTTACAGCAAGAAGGTTTCTTTTGGATCCTGGCTTAGGCTTGAACATTTTTGCCCTTTTTTTTGGACAAATTCCTGACTTACAAGTTAGAGGCATGAAGTTGAAACACATCAGTATTTATGAATCAGCCACAGCATCCGTCTCACTCTAGTCCTCCAACTTTAAAGCTGCATAGAACTGATTCTCTCTAAAACTAGAGAGCCCTCAGTAGATGGACACAGCTGCCCAATGTATGCATGTTTACCTGATTCTGAGTTTTACTGTGCACCTACTTGAGGATGAACTTGCCTTGATTTTGCCTTAAAATGATACATAATGTAAGAAGAGTTTAGTCTATCATGTAACAGATGTCTTGCATTGAGGGGAAGCATTTTGCTGTAATTTACACCTACAGCTGAGCATCTAAGATGTATGACCTTGAGTGTGACCCTGACCTTTCATCCAAGGTCAAATGTCACATCACCAATATGGGTTCCTATCTGATTCTAATAAGAAACTGTTTCTTTATTTTACATCGTGTCCAAGTTATAATGGATTTAAAATTTGTTATGATTTAAGACCTTCAGTGTGACCATGACCTTTGACTCAAGGTCATATGCTACATCATCAATTTATAGGCCTCAAATGTCTTCCTAAGCTAGTGTACTAAACTTATGTCTTTTGGTGCATTTTCAGTCAAACAGAGCTTTTTTTGTGAAATGCCACCTTTGACCTCACCAGTGCATGTATTGACCCCAAAATCTAATCACTCCACCATACCGAGGTCATATGTGAAGTTTCAGGTTCAAGCTCCTCTCCTGTAAAGTGCTAGACTGTGAACAGACAAAAACAAAAACATGCACACAAACACACTGGCACGATTACTCTCTATATTATATTATATTATATTTTATATATCTTACTCTATCTTTAAAAAAAAAAAAAAAACAACTGTCAACCAGGAGCCTATTTTAGTGGCACAACAAATACAGAACCTGTCTTTTGGGCTACTCCTTCTGAAGGCCGTATACAGTAGGTCAGCACAAACTCTTTTTGTATGTTCTTGCCATTATTCCTCTAGAATATCTGATCAGATCAGCATCAAAAATAACAAGCTCAAAAAATACTCAGCTACTTTTATGGGATCTTTTCTTTTCTTTTCTTTTCTTTTCTTTTCTTTTCTTTTCTTTTCTTTTCTTTATTCTTTTCTTTTCTTACACCAGAAACAACATCCATCCTTATTAGCTGACTGTCTCTTGAACTCCCCACGACAGCACTCATGCTTTATTGAAAGTAAATCTGACTGCAACGCTTCAATAAACTGCCAGTAATCAATACAGCTGTACGTCTGCAGAAATAGCTGAACTGGAGCCAGTCATACTTTTTTTTTGTTGTGTTTTTAAAAAAAATCTGAATCTGATCTCACCTTCTCTTTAAAACTCGCCTCACGAGACACCAGGGAGCCCTGAGGAAAGAAAAGACACTCACTGATATGTTCCTATTGAGCCAAGTTACTATAGAAACACATTAATTCAAGAGCTATAACTGTTATCTTGGCTTTTTTTTCTTTTTTTTTTTAATCAATCATAAGCCCTTGGAAGTCAGTGTCTTCATACATGATACATGAATGGCCATGAATCCAGTAGTGTGGTTGCTGCTGAGGTAGCTTTGGCTGAGGTTTTACTTAAATTCATGAAGACTAAAACAAAGGTTAATTACATGATGTGATTCTGTCTTTCAAATTCCTGCAGATGGTGTTTTCTTTTTATCAAGTTGGCGTGAAAAATGTGATAGAATACTTTAAGGATTTACTGGTGCAGGATTTACCTTGAGGTCGTACTTTCTGTGTACGTGCAGTCTGTGGCTGAACATGTTCCTCATCACTAACAGGTAGGTGTCCTCGCTCTCCACAGTCACTCTGTACATGGCCAAGAACTGAGGGAGCAGCGTGCTGCCGTGACAAGTGACAATGTGCTGGAAAAGAACATCGGTGAATAGATGATAAATTATGAAGAACAAAGGAAACATTCACATGGCAGCATGAGGCGCTGCTATTTATGATGGTGTCGTTTTTTGTTTGTTTTTTTTCTTCTGAGGATCCTTCACTTGCCTGTGATCAGCATTGGACAGATTATCTGAAATTTGTGCTTGAAATAATTTACGAGATGAACTTTATCTATCTATCTATCTATCTATCTATCTATCTATCTATCTATCTATCTATCTATCTATCTATCTATCTATCTATCTATCTATCTATCTATCTA